GTGTCGTTCGTTTCTCGTAATTGATCCGTTAATTGTCTACGTGTTGTCGTTAATTGCGTTGTAAAGCGTCTAAGCATGGTTTTGGGTTCCACAACGGTTCCCGGGGCGCAATTGATGAAAAAGAGTCAGTGGGGGGGTAGGTGGGGGGTAGGGGACCCGCCACCTACCCGGTGCCGAGAATCACCGCCTGGCAGCGGGTGGCCGGCGGCCGGGCAGCTGCCCGCCGGCGACCCGCTGCCCGGAACAGTAAAACCGGCGGGCAGCCGGCGGGTGGCCCCCCCCACCCACCGGCTACCCGCTGGAAATTCATCCCACCCGGGATCCCGGCTTCCTCGTTTGATGTTTCCCGTTCCCCGTGGTGTCCCAACGGACTCCGTTTATCGTGCCTATGTCTAGTTTGATGTTTCGGGTACCGTTCGTAGGTTTATGAGTCTATTATATTGCATGCTAGTTGAATTGGTATCCCGTTGACCTATGTGGAAGAAGTATGAACCCCTTAGGACTATTCTTAGTAAGTGATGGATCTCGCATAGGTTTTGTTATACGTTTTCTCCCCCTTCCTAATGTGTAATGTGGGTTGCATGTGCTTGCTAAGTGTTATGTGTGTGTTACCCCAATTCGGTTGCGATCGGATTGGTTATCCTGAGTTGCGGTTCAGAAGCTGGCTGCGGTCAGATTGATACTCTTGGGCTGCGGTCCACCGTTTGGTTGCGATCAAACGTTTCTATACGAGCTGCGGTTCGTCCTTTTTCCTGGCTGCGGTCAGATGACATTCTCTTGGGCTGCGGTCCACTGTTTGGTTGCGATCAAACACTATGATGAGCTGCAGTTCATCGGTCGGTTGCGATCGACCCCTCCGTGTTGCGATACGGGGCAGGGTGCTGCGGGGCCGTGTCAGAGCTATATGCGCTGACCCTCATGTATTGGCATGCGATTGGTCCTGTGGCGCCAACAAAGTGTGTTATGTGTTGTGACATGGACGAGTTGTGATTACGAGTGTCTTGGGGGATGTGACTATGGGGTTTATATTGTGGATTGTTCATGTTGGGTTATGATCATTGTTTATGCTTTGCCTTATCTGCCTTATCTGTTGTGAACTGCATATGCTCGTTATAACTGTTGCTTGTGTCTGACCTTATCTGTCGAGTCAATCCCGGTTTTAAAGCTAGAGTTCGTAGGATATATCTTCATGCTCAAAATGGTTTTCGTATATCTATATATATCTCTATATGTATTGTATTTCAACGCGTTGGAGTGGGTTACCAGCATCTCTCGCTGAACAGATATATTTGGCTTTCAGGCACAGAGGACTAGAGCACTGGAGCGCGCTAGAACTGGAGCGTAGAAGTAGAGTAGTTTCCCTTTCGGCCTGTGTGCCATATTATGCATTGTGTTTCAATGGGTATTAGTTAGACAGCCTGTGCACCTGGGTTCTCTAGCCCAGGTGTGGCATAGCACCCCGTACACTTATGATATACTTTGGGATGTAATGAGATATTACCTTTATTATATAAGCTTAAAATGTCTTGAAAATCTGGGGTGTTACAATGTCGAGATTTGTTGCTTCCCTTGAGCCCATTGCATAAGAGCTTCTTAATCATAGACAACGTCTCAGGATCAGTAACTGCACAGCCAAAATTTAATATGTTGCTTCCGTTGAACCGGAGAAGGTCGTCGGCTGTGACGGGGGCTGGTCGTGATGAGTGGGCTGCCGGTTGTAACCGGGGCTAACGGTGAGTGGGCTGCCGGCTGTGACTGGGGCTAACGGTGAGCGGGCTGCCGGCTATGACCGGGGCTGACGGTGAGTGGGTTGTCGGCTGTGATCGGGGCTGATGGTGAGTGGGTTGCCAGCTGTGACGAGGCTTGGTCGTTGTTGGTGGTCGCGACGATGCGTCTGTGCTGATCGCGGCTGGCGTATGTGTCTCAATCCTAGGCAGGAGGCGGCAGATAGAGATTAGGGAAAAGGGAGTTAGGGCTGGGGCGACTACGTGACTCAATCTGCCGTTTTAAGTCTTTTACTCTTTTGATTAAAAAAAAAACCTTGCCATTTAAGAATAGAGGGAAATAAAATTTTAAAAAAATTTCAACAGAATCAATTCCGTCGTTAATTCCGTTGCCTTTTCCGTCGTTATATTTTGCCGGCAAGATTTCACGAGTTTTATTTTCTCTTTGTGCAAAAAATCGCGACAGAATTAATTTTCATCGCCGTTTTCGTCGTAAATTTGCAATAGAAGCTATTTTATGGCAATATCTATCGCTAGATTACGACAGATTAATATCTGTCGCGATTCGTGAATTTTCTTGTAATGACTTTTTGAAGCTTTTCAATGCCATTAAAATCGCATGATTTGGACATTCCTATACTAAAATATTATCAACATACCAAATGTCATGTTGATCTTTAATGGCGTGACTACTATCATTACCCTTGGTCCTCACTCGACAATTCTTTTTTTATTCATTTCCTTTGACCTTTTGGGTCCCCAAGTCATGTCACAATACTTCTAGCTCGATCGTTTTTACTTTTTTAAAAACCTCTAACGATTCTCGAAATGCCCCTATGTGCCAATATAGTTTACTTGGGATCTAAGACTTACAATTGTTACAACTACGGGATGTTGCCTTAATGGCTGAGTGCTCACTTGTCCAGGTCTCTTGACCACACTTTTAGTATTCTACCACCTCTATCTTTTTATAATAGCTAGCATACTAAGCGATATATATCTACTATATCTACTATACTAATATGAGCCAAAGAGAGTTAGGCCTATAATTGGTAGAAAAAATGACGGTCAAATTTTTTAATCAAATGAATGTCTCAGATTGATCAGATTTTAATTTTTTCTTGAGATTTCCTAATTTATCCTTAATTATATGATTATCCGTTAACTTTCTCGTTAAATATTATCTCCTCCGTTAATTTCTGGAGGGAGGAACCCACGTCAGGCCAAGGTGCTATGTAGATGTTGGCTACCGACATGCAACGGGGGAGGCAACCTATGGTATGGTACTCCTCATGTCGGACGGGACCTTTGTGTAAGCACGGAATGGAAGATTGCCAACTTGTGTCTCGCCTTTTATGGCGGAAGCCTTAGCTTGTAAGGAGGCTTTATCCTGGTTGCTCGAGAGGAATGTAGTGGATGTGGACATACTAACCGATTGCCTACAGCTCAGAAATGTCATGCGCCAGGAATCAACGACTATACTGTCTTATGTTGGGGTCACGGTAGATCAATGTAGGAGGATGGTGGCTTTGTTTACTTGTTGCTCATTAAGTTATATTTCTAGACAGCTTAATTTATCTGCACATGTTTTAGCTTCGTTAGCTTTTACTCAGGACCAGTCTATGTTATGGGATGCAATCCCTCCTGACTCTATTGCAGCTTTGCTCCATTAATACAATCATTTATTGGTTGACTTTCAAAAAAAGATATAACTCCGATCTATAACAAAAAATGTAATTATATTATTCCTACATATAATTATATTTAAATATTATAACCACCAAACTAGTATATAAATAAATCAAAAGAGTTAAATTATTTGCAATGTTAATTAAAATAATTGGACATAATTGTAATAGGGTAGAAATATTTGATATTATATTATTTAAAAACATAATAAGTTTCAATCCAGGTTATACTCCTGGTTTATGTTCATTTTTTCTATTAACTTTTTCTTTTGTACCTTATGCTATAAAAGTTGTACTACATAATTTTTTGACAAAAATATCCCTACAGTTATGTTCGTTTTTTCTGTTATCTTTTCACATTATTATTACCATGCACATGCATACCCAATATTTTTTCCTACATTCTTCAATGGTAAGTTTGATTTTATTTAGATTTTAATTAAATGTTACCATAGTTATATTTAGTAATTTATCATTTCTATAATTCTTACTTTAATAATATAGATGATGGATGATACACTAGGCTTGGGCCACATGGACCGGCCCAAGAAAACAACTGGACCAAGGAAGCCCAAGAAAGACACGCAGTACAGAGCAACCCAAGAGTTTGTCAAGGATTGGACATGTTATTCCTAATATAATTAGAATCGGACTCATTATTTCTAATATGGTAGAGTTAGGTCTTATTATGTAACTAAGATTCTCAATATGAGGCAGTCTAGAATTCTTATTTCTTGTAGGGCTCTAGGCCCAAAATATGTATAAATAGACCCCTCACATGGAGGAGAAGGGACAACTTTCTCTATTCACGAGCAATACTCTTCAATACAAAGTTCCTATATTTTCTCCATATATTTCTCCTATATTTTTCCGATATTCTCGTTATTCTAACGGTAGTGTTGGCCTGCCGTTGACTATCCAAAAGTCATAAAACCAACATTGGCGCCGTCCGTGGGGATCAATACGAAAAGTTATCGTTCGTCCCTCGAAACCCTGAAAGCATGATAACTACACAACGAAATACTCGAACTAACCAGGCAGTCACTAGACCAGTCAGAGATTTGAGAGAAACCCTCAGCCGCCCCCACTCACAGGTACCGAACGATCAGCATATTTCCCTAGAGAGGAAGAGGTCCGTTCGAACGCACGCCCACCGGCCGTTGGTGTCCCACGGACCCAGCCAGTGGAACTCACCCCCGAGATAGTAGAGGCCGCCGCATGCTACTTAGCGGCCCTACATCAGGGCCAGGCTGCAAGGGCAGGATCCCCAGAACCCTCCCGGATAAACAATACCACCCAGATCGCCGGCGACCGACGGCCCAACACGAACTTGCCCCCTGAAAGAACACAGAGATCGGCTCCACCCCAGGGACCCCGTCGTGCAATCTCCGTCCTTGACCGCTTAGGGCCCCTGAACCAACGGGAAACCGCTCCACAGCCTGAACTCGGAAACCCCCCGGTAGAAAGCCCGCAACAAAGAGTCAGGCTCAACCCCCAGCGACGGGTGGAGGTCACCCAGGCAACCGGTTCTCACACGGGAGGGGCAAGGGAAGGGGATCCCGATCGAAGAAGAATTCTGCAAGACATGATGGAGGGTAGCGGAGAGACTCCAGAACTTGGTCAGGGGAACCGAAATCGAGGGACGGCAGAACTCGCCAGGGAGGTGAGAGACCTCCAAAGGAAGGTCGAGGGTAGGGGAGATCGACCAACTGCTCGATCTTTATTGTCTGCCAGTCCATTCTCTATGAAAATCCAAGAATATCGCGCGCCAAGAGACTTCAAGTGTCTGACAATGCCTACTTACGATGGAACGGGGGACCCCAGCGATCACTTAGTCGGTTTCCAGGAAAAGATGATGGTAATAGGGGCGGAGGACCCCATGTACTGTCGCGCCTTTTTCTCAACCTTGGACGGGGCAGCGCAGCGCTGGTTCCTATCCCTAACACCAGGGTCCATCGATCGCTTCGAAACCTTACCCGAACAATTCCTAACCTACTTCGCAGGATGCATGAAAACAAAGAAGCACTTCATGACCCTGACTGCCATACAACAAGGAGAAACTGAGACACTAAAAGAGTTCCTAAAAAGATGGCAGAAGGAAGTACAGGTTGTAGAAGATCTGGACGACCGAACGGCCCTCACTTTATTCATGGAAGCCCTCCGGTCAGGGGATCTGTTCACTAGTCTACGAAGGGAGACCCCCGACACGTATGCACAGGCCGTCCAGAGGGCCAACAGATACGCGGAAACAGAAGAAGCTTTGCAACAAAAAATAAGGCGAGAAGCGAAACGACCCCGTGACAAAACGAGAACGCGTCCGTCGGACCGACCGACTAAACGGGAAGAAAGATCTAACGTCATTCGGGGGCCACCTCTCCCTCGACACAGAGCAGTCGCCACCCTCGGGGCAAGGCACGTGCACGAGGTCCAACCACCCCGACCTACAGAGAACCTACCACCACCACCCACAAAGGCGGAGGAACGGCCGGCCGCGGGAAGAGCCAGATACTGCCGATATCACAGGTCCACAGGACATTCTACCGAAGAATACTACCCTACAAAAAGAAATCGAGGAGCTTATCCAGAAAAGACAATCGACTACTCGCCCCAACCAATGGCGAAAACTTCCATGGGCACCAGCCCGGAACCCTCCCGGCGAACTTAGGGATAGGCCCCAACAGAAAACACCCAACTAACAAGAGGGGAATCCAGAAGAGCAAGACGATCGAAACTGGAAACACAAGCGTGTGATCCACATGATTTGTGGCGGGCCTGCGGTTGGAGACAGCTCTCGCGAGAGGAAACGTTGGGCTAGACAATTATATGTAGGCGCAGTGCAACATAGACCCCCCATCAAGAAAGGCCGGAGGGACATCATCACCTTCTCTGATGAAGACCTCCCGGACGGCCCAACACCACACCACGATGCCCTTGTCATCACCGTGGACATCAACGGGACCACCGTCCGGAGAGTATTTGTAGACACTGGCAGCAGCGTCAATGTCATGTACCTCGAGACATTTAACAAACTGGGACTGTCCCGAGAACAACTACACCTAGTGCGGACACCATTTGCTGGGTTCACCGGAGATAGCGTAGAGGCTGAGGGGTGCCTCACCTTGTCTGTGGAAATAGGAGAATACCCAAGGGTCCGTTCCCTAGACATGGAGTTCGTTGTTGTTAACATCAATTCCGCGCACAACGTAATTCTAGGGCGCCCGGGTTTAGAGGACCTGGGGGCTGTGGTGTCGCTCGAGCATCTGTGCTTAAAATTCCGAACACCCGAAGGAGTGGGGATCGCTAAATGCGATCGCCATGTGGCCCGATCATGCTACCTCCTTTGTTGTTGACAAATTGGGAAACGCGACCTGCAGGTCCAAACTATCACCGAGAAAACCAAAGGAGATGAGATTAAGGAAAGGCCGGAACCCGCAGCCGATTTAGAAGAAGTAGCTTTAGATGACTCCAGACCAGATAGAACGATCAAGATAGGCAAAGGACTAACAGAAGAGGTCCACCTGAGTATCTTACAGACACTGAAAGAGTACAAAATCCTATTCGCTTGGGGACCTGAAGACATGCCTGGAATTGACCGGTCGGTTATTACCCACCGCTTATCTGTCAATCCGGCCACTCGACCAGTCATGCAACGGAAGAGGCACCTAGCGGCAGACTGAAGAGAATTCGTAAAAAAAGAAGTTTCCACCCTACTAGAGATCGGACACCTCAGGGAAGTCACCTATCCCGCTTGGGTGGCTAACGTTGTGCTAGTACCCAAGCCCCCAGTATGGAGAATGTGTGTCGATTATACTGACCTCAACAAGGCGTGTCCTAAGGACCCCTTCCCCTTTCCACGAATAGACCAACTGGTAGACCAAACTACCGGCTGCGCACTACTTAGCTTCATGGACGCCTTTCGGGGCTACCACCAAATATTTATGGAAGAGCACGACGAAGAAAAAACGGCATTCCTGACACCTGATGGAGTCTATTGCTATAAGGTGATGCCGTTCGGCCTGAAAAATGCGGGAGCAACATTTACAAGGATGGTCTCCAAAATATTTCACAGCTTGCTTGGGAAAAGCATGGAGGCTTATGTCGACGACCAGTTGGTAAAAAGCAAAGAAGCCCCCGAGCACTCTCGAGACCTTAGAGCATGCTTCCAACTCATGGAAAGATATAAACTGAGATTGAATCCAAAGAAATGCGCATTCGCTGTCCGTGGGGGAAAATTCCTAGGATACATGGTCACACAGAGAGGGATAGAACCAAACCCCGAGAAAATAAAAGCCATACTGGATATGCAACCGCCGACCAACCTACTGGAAATCCAAAAACTGACGGGACGACTGGCAGCCCTTAGCCGTTTCCTCTCCAAATCGGCAGAGCGCTCTCTACCATTCTTCGAAGTGATCAAAAGAAGAGAGGGGTTCGAATGGACCCCTGAATATCAAGCATCGTTCGAAGAGTTAAAGAAATATCTGTTATCCCCACCCCTACTAGCCAAACCCAAAGAAGGTGAAACCTTATACCTTTACATGGCAGTATCGGAGCAGGCAGTGAGCTCCGTTTTGGTGCGGGAAGCAGAGAAGCTACAACATCCAATATATTATATCAGCAAATTACTAAGAGGGGCAGAAACACGATATACACCCCTGGAGAAGATGGTCTACTCCCTGATCACCACAGTACGGAAGTTAGTCCCATACTTCCAAGCCCACCCCGTAGAGGTGCTCACAGACCAACCACTCGCCGGCATCCTGAGGAGCCCCACCTCCTCCGGTCGAATGGTGAAATGGGCTATGGAGTTGACCCAATATGGGATTGAGTACAAACCCCGACCCTCCATCAAGGCACAGGCCCTGGCCGATTTCATCGTGGAATGTACATCAAGAGACCAAAGGGGGGGGACAAGTGATTTCAGCCAGAATACCTGGTGGGAAATGAGTGCAGACGGAGCAGCCAGCACCAAACACTGTGGAGGGGGAATCATGCTAACTTCACCAGAAGGGTTCAAAGTATACTATGCCCTAGAATACCAGTTCAAAGCATCGAACAACGAGGCAGAATATGAAGCAGTGATCAGAGGCATACGGCTTGCGACCGCCCTTGGAGCACCTAAACTTCGCATTCGAACAGACTCACGACTCGTTGTAGGACAAATCAAAGGCACCTTCGAGACTAGAGGGGAAAACTTGAGGATGTACAAGGATGTTACTGAAGGATTGCTGGGAAAATTGAACGCTTACGAAATACAACACGTGCCCCGAACGGAAAACATAGAAGCTGACCTACTCTTGAAGATCTCCCTGGGAGGTACCCCAGGACACTTAGCTCACATATGCAAGAGAGAGGTCATCCACGCGCCCAGTACAGAATCCCTCTTGATCGCAATGGTAGCCCCAGTAGGCATCCAATCTCCGGATAGCTGGATACGAGATCTAACCAGATACATCACGAATGCAGAACTTCCGTCTGATCCTGTACAGGCCGCAAAAATCAAGCGAAGGGCCCCAGCCTACCAATTGGTAGACAACCAGCTGACAAAAGATTCTTCCGAGGACCCCTACTAATATGCCTCCCACCAAGCGAAGCCAAGCAAGTAATTGAGGAAGCCCACAGCGGGATATGTGCAGCCCACCAGGGAGCGAACACCCTGGCCAGAAAATTACTGGTCCAAGGATATTACTGGCCCAGCATGACACAAGATTGCATCCAAAGGATTCAAAGTTGCCATACTTGTCAAAAGTTTGCAGAAAAGCAAAACTGACCGGCCACCTTCTACACACCGGTCACCACAGCCATACCCTTCGCTAAGTGGGGTGTAGACCTCCTAGAACCGCTACCCCAAGCGCCAGGGCGCCACAAGTTCTGCATAGTTGCTATTGACTACTTCACTAAGTGGATCGAAGTCGAACCATTGGTAACCATCACCGAATACCAGTGTCGCAAATTCCTGTGGAAGAAAGTGATCTGCCGTTTTGGCCTGCCTGAGCATCTCATCACTGATAATGGCCGACAGTTCGATTGCAAGGACTTCACAGAATTCTATGAAAATTATTCTATCAAGCACACCAAGGTATTGGTGGCTTACCCCCAGGCAAACGGGCAAGTAGAAAACGCGAACAGAACAATCATGGATGGACTAAAGAAACGAATAGAAGAAGAAGGTGGTGCATGGGTGGACTAACTCGACCACATCCTGTGGGCTCATCGAACCACACCGCGACGGGCAACCGGGGAAACCCCATTCAGCCTCACGTATGGGTTCGAGGCCAAGGTCCCCATCGAGGTCCTATGCCCCACGAGTAGGGTGCAACAATATGAGGATCAGGCTAATGAGCAGCTACTGCAACTAGAAAAGAATTTCCTCGAAGAGCGAAGAGACGCAGCTCAGCACCGAATGGCGGAATATCAACGAGCTGTGAAAAAGATACCATGATGCACGCGTAAAGCCTAGGTACTTTGACATAGGGGACCTAGTACTCAGAGATAGACAAGCCGCCCTACCAAATCAAGGCGGGAAAATAGCCAAGAACTGGGAGGGCCCCTACAGAGTCTCGGCAATCATCAGACCAGGCACCTGCAAGTTGGAAACTATGGAAGGCAAGCTGATTGAGCGTATTTGGAATTCAAATCGCCTCAAAAGGTTTTACCAGTAGCCCGCATGAGAATTTCATAACAAATATCCTCATGTACTATTTACCTTTATTAGTTTCGTAATAAAATATCTTTATTTCGGATTACACATCTCATGATTCGCAAAAACATAACACATTACAACATCTCAAAGAAGCTAGGTCGTAGTTAGCCCCTTGTAGGGGCTAACAAACTCACACCCTATCCAAACCAACCTGAACCTCCCCAGAATTCTTACGGATGATCACCCCGGCTAGTCATCCCAACGGGTCATTTCGACAAATCAATAGCCAATTCATCTTACCACAAATCGGCGGTTCACCAAACGCTCGATGGACAAGTATAAAACAAGGTCACGCATGAAGCAATAATCAGTTCACGATGAAACAAAATGAATGGGGCTACTAGGATAAAGAGCCCTACAATATCAGGTGGTGGAGAATCTAATAGTGGGGAGTTAAGGGTGAAGGGCTTAGTGTAGTATATAGAGGCTCTAGGAGAATAATCGGAGCGTCATAGGACATAAGGCTGAGTCTAGAAGTCATTAGAGTATTAAACAACGTCAGTAAAAGCAGTCAAATAGAGTACATACTGGCAGAGAACGGGAGACGTTCTCAAAAGCCATTGGTGGAATGGCATAATAATAGAGAACGGGAGACGTTCTCCAAAGCCATCAGTGGAATGGCATAACAACAGAGAGCGGGAGACGTTCTCAATAGCCATTGGTGGAATGGTATACTGGCAGAGAACGGGAGACGTTCTCCAAAGCCATCAGTGGAATGGCATAACAACAGAGAGCGGGAGACATTCTCAATAGCCATTGGTGGAATGGTATACTGGCAGAGAACGGGAGACGTTCTCAAAAGCCATTGGTGGAATGGCATAATAATAGAGAACGGGAGACGTTCTCCAAAGCCATCAGTGGAATGGCATAACAACAGAGAGGGGAGACGTTCTCAATAGCCATTGGTGGAATGGTATACTGGCAGAGAACGGGAGACATTCCCAAAAAACCATTGGTGGAAT